AGGAAAGGAAAGGAAAGGAAAGAAAGAAAAAGAGGGAGGGAGGGAGGAAGGAAGGAGAAAGAAAAGAAAAGAAAGAAACACAAAGGAAGAAAGGAAGGAAGAAAGAGGGAGGGAGGGAAGGAGGGAGGGAGGAAGAGATAGGAACATTTCAAAGGGACACAGAACCAACCTAAAAGAGTTCTCAATAGATCACATCTGGGCAAAAAATAAATGATTGTACTGGATTGTAACCCAAAGTGTAAAATACATATCCATGATTCTATACTGATTTAAGTGATTGAATAAATAATAAATGGATGAACATAGACAAATATTCCTTACAGAAAAATTCCAAATAATAAATGTAGAAGGAATGAAGGAAATTAAAAAAAAACAAAGAGAACCCCACAGTGATAATTGGCTGTAAGATTAACCTACTTGAGAATGTTGAAATTAGTGGGTAAAACTTCAAGGTGAAACCAGATATTTTTGTAGCTTCCAAGTATCTCCCTCAAAAATATTTATTAATTACTGTGGTGGTTTTAACATATATCCACAAATCCTTTGATGCTCCAAAAATAACAGAGATCTATAGCCAACAAGCCAAGAAAACAGATAAAATGAGTTAATAATTAATTCAAAAGAAGGCAGAACAAGAGAAAAAGAAGAATACAGAACAGATGGGACAAATAGTTACTAATGGCAAAGTGATAGATTTCAGTTCAGTCATTTCAATAATTACGCTAAATGTAAATGATCTAATCTCCGCAATAAAAAGGCCGACATTTTCATATTAGCTAAAAAAACAAGACCCGACTGTAGGCTGCCTATAAGAAACCCATTTAAAATACAAAGACATATTTTAAAAGTAAAAGAATGGAAACAGATATACTATGCTAACACAAATCAAGAGCAAGTTGAATTGGCTAAGCTAATATCAGATAAATAGTTTTCAGAGCAAAAAATATTATCTGGAATAAAGAGGTTCACTTCATAAAGATAAATGGATGAATTCATCAAAAGGACATAACATTCCTAAATATTTTCACCTAATAACAGACTTTCAAAATAGATGATTTAGTGGTGTATGACAAGGACCCTCTCTTAATTTCCAGAGATACTATACGAGGTTACGACTTTCTACTTTGATTTGTGTAGTTGGCACTATACCAGTTTGTTTTTCTTTCACTGCTTTATTTTGGAGAGTTAATTAATTTAATTTTATTTTTTTAAAATAAAATTTATTGGGGTGACAATGGTTAGTAAAATTACATAGGTTTCAAGTGTACAAATCTGTAATACATCATCTATATATTACATTGTGTGTTCACCACCCAGAGTCAGTTTTCCTTCCCTCACCATATATTTGACCCTGTTTACCCTCATCTACCACCCCCCTCCCCCCTTCCCTCTGGTAACCACTAAACTATTGTATGTGCCTGTGAGTTTTTGTGTATTGGTTTTCTATTGCAGCATAAAAAATTATCACAAGTTTAGAGGCTTAAATAGTGCCCCTTTATAGCTCACAGCATGTCACGTGTTGGGGCCTGGCCCAGCTGGCTTCTCTGTTTCAGGTCTCAAAGGCTGAAAGCAAGGTGTCAGTCAGGCTGAGTTTTTGTTCGGAAGCTCTGGAGAAGAATCTGCTTCCCAGCGCATTCAGATTGTTGGCAGTATTCAGCTCCTTGCAGCTGTAGGACTGAAGTGCCTGTTTTCTAGTTGGCTGTTAGCCAGTGACCACTCCAGCTTCTCCAGAATGCTCACATTCTCTCCCACATAGAAGGGTTCATCTCCTAGCATTGTAGGCTCTCAAAAACTTGAATGGATCTCTGACACTTTTAATCTCTTTCTTTAATTGGACACCAGTTCCTTGTAAGGATCATCTAATTGGTCCATCCCTTCCTTAAACTCAGCTGTACCATGTAACATACCTTATCATCAAAGTGACTATCTTGTCAAATGTACAGCTTCCTGCTGTACAGAGTAACTGGGTACCAAAATCTAGCTTCACTGACACATCAAAACCATCACACCATACAGTTTACCCATTTACAATGTGCAACTCAGTGGTTTTTAGTATTTTCACAGAATTATGCAACTGTCACCACAATCAATTTGAAAACATTTTATCATTCCCAAAGAAACCTTATGCTTATTAGCAATCACTGCACATTAAACCCCCACCTACCCTTGTCAGCCCTAAACACCCACTAATCTTTATACCTCAATGGATTTGCCTATTC